GTTAAATATTTGTTATTGTCAACGTGATAACCTGCAGTTAGCTATGACTAAATATGAAATGTTAAAACGAAGGCCTACCTTTCAAATTGGGGATGATATGACCAAGCCTTCCTCAAAATCTCAGATGTCCCGACAAACGAACTCCAAAAGACCTCAGGTCCGGATGAGTCCGAATGACCTCGAGTTTAACGAGCTAAAGTCAAGGCGTGCTCAGGTACAGACAAGCTCAAGTCCGAGTTGAAGTCCGAATGACCTCGAGTTTACTAGCTAAAGTCTAGGCGTGCTCAATCAGGTACAAACGAGCTCAAGTCCGAGTTGAAGTCCCAATGACCTGAAGTTTATACTAGCTAAGGTCTAGACGTGACCATACCATACTCTGGAGTTTACACGTACATTACTATACCTCATACATATTCATGATCGAGAACCGAACGTTCACTGGTCAATTCACCATCACGTGCCAGATGTTATTCTTGCTGTTTACCAAACGCGCGCGCGAGGATTCACGCACATTGTAAATACGCATGCGTAGTAGACTGTCGCATAGGTTACCCGTTGTCACGGTCTCACTTCTCCGGCGTGCTAGATTCTCCAAGTTGGACATTTTGCTTCAACACGCATGCACAAAATTGCGCAGTATAGTGCTCACTTTCGCCAACTTTATTTGTGTGCTGAGTTCTTTGGGGTTGTACTGGTGCACTTTTGTATACGTCACAGGGTACCATCGAATCCAGACCTAGCGCGCAATTAACTATAAACCAATATCCTAATAATAACCAAAAAGACTTGAAGGATGCGCATTTATTTTAAACCGTGGTTGAACGTGGTTACAAATTGGACATGCATGTGATGGACCGCGACCAAGCAAGGAACACGGTTCTTAATTATTCCTCAACGCACACGCAATGACGATGGGAACACAACTTAGAATGCTTGCAATATGACTTGACCCACAAGAAGTGTTACATAACGCATTCTTGGGTGTCCCTCACAGGCCGAGGAAAAGTTAGCACAGCGGACACATGAGCATGAATTGTGCTCATGTAACGTGCACTGTAACGTGCTCAATTACCCGCCAAATCCACCCGGAGAAGCTAGCACGCCGGAGAAGTTAGACCGTGACACCGTGCGACAGTCTACTACGCATGCGCTTTACAGAGCAATCGAGGAACTGTCGCACGGGTGCAGTACGCACGCGCGAACATAGCCCAGGAGAGATTCATGGTTGCATGGTTCGCGTAAATGTTAATTTCCAGAGCTCAATGATGCCGTACTGGAGAAAATTTATAGAACGTGTAAAGATGTCTCCTGTACAAAAGAAAGTTGTACACATTGCAAACATTTGTATTTACAACTGTAGTAACTGTATTATATTGCAAACGGATCGAACTAGTAATTGAAGTTGAATTTTTTGGTGAGCTGTACAAGTTTCCCCGAATTTTGTTTTAGGTGCATTATAATCAAACAAAATTCGGCAACTGAATATGTATGAGGTATAGTAAAACAAATATAACATGGTTTATTTCGGGTGGACAGTCGATATTAGCTCCCCTCGGTATTGGAAGTTGACAAACTAGTTCCCTCGGCTTCGCCTCGGGAACTAGTTTGTCAACTTCCAATTCCTCGGGAAGCGAATATCGACTGTCCACTCTCTAACCATGTTATATTTGTATATTGTTATACAAATATTAAGTGGCTCAGCGTGGAATGGGAGGAATATTATCGCAAGGTAAAGTCCAGATATTACCGAGCGATAATATTCCTCCCATTTCACAATTTAAAGCCACTCAATATTTGTTTTATATAACTGACATAAAGATCCTTGTCATTTGATATATTTGAACTTTTATTTCAATACAAACCTGGAGGAAAATGTATTTGTCTCTTCCAAACCACCCCTTCACGAAAATGTTTGAACCCAACGCTGTAGCGCTGGCTCTTTGGAACAATACGCGCTACGCGCAACGCTGAACGCGCACACCAGCATGCATTTGCACACAAATACCGCGTCATGATCCTAACTGTTGAATAGACCGCTTGCAGACGCGTTCGATAATTGACGCGCTAAGGCAAGCGACGCCATGTTATGGGACAAAATGTGCGTGGATAGATACGCCTGTCCCACAACATGGCGTCGCGCGCCTTCGCGCGTCGATTATCGAACGCGTCTGCAAGCGGTCTATAGTATTTCCCGTTCCCCATGGGCGGATAGTACTTTTTGAGCCATGGCATGAATGGGAGCAATAACGAATGCCAGGTGATGTGAGTTCCACCAATCAAATGACTAGGATCTGTATGTCAGTTATATAATAAATACTATCCCAGAAGAATTTTTCCAAAGTCTAGACATTTTTGCCCACATGTCTGCCCAGAAACGTAACCCACAACGAACGGAATTAAGTTACAAAAAACTGTGAATTGAAACCCATTTTGTAAAAACAAAAGCCACACACATTGGCTTTGAAACATCAGATGGAGCAGGATGAGGTTCATTTTATTTGTTTACACGATTCCAGTCATTTCACCATGGAAACGCAACTGAAAGTCATTCATAAAACATCACTCAGATATCAGTGTATGTTGTGTTGTACATTGTACCGCAAAGTGGTATTCATCCTGTTGCCGTACACGTTGCCATGGTAACTGCTTTATCTCTGTTCATTCCCAAAACGATTACGGGAGGAGGTACATTGTAAAACTTAATAATTGATTTTACTGCCAAAGCTGGCAAGCTGTATACTGTACCGGTACATGTACATGGACCGTACATTTATGCATGTGGGTTTTCGGTACATGTATGTTGAAAGAGGGGTTTCACATACTTATACATTTCAAGCTACGGCCTTTTTCAAAAGCTTGTAGACTTTATCTACAGGCTGAGTAAAAAAAACGCAGCCCAAATTGCAGGACCAATTTTTGAGTGAAGTTTTGCCTGTAGCACTTTCAAAAGCTCAGATTTTGAAAGGCCATTTAATGAGCTTCCTTGTAGTGTAAGAATTATTCAAATCACTTATGTACTTTTTAAGTTACAGAATTTTGAACACAAACATCGTTTTTAAGTTCTGTCCACGGATCATACAAAACGTAAGTGTTCTTTCATCAAAACGAAAACAATTCTCATAGGGATGCATGTGAATTGTTTTCGTTTTGCTGAAAGAACACTTACATGTATCTTTTTTATGGTCCGTGGACAGAACTTTAAAACGGTATTTGTGTTCAAAATGCCGGAAGTTGAAAAGTGCATGCGTGATTTGAATGATTCTTATACTAAAAGAAAGCTTATTAATTGGACTTTCGTATCCTAGATTTTGAAAGTGATACAGGCAAAACTTCATTCAAAAATTGGTCCTGCCATTTGGGCAGTGGCGCCCCCCAGTCGCCCCCCCCCCCCCCACTGAGATTTTGAGTTTCTAAAAAAATTATCATTGATCTACATGACGCCATGGGCGTCAATCCTGGGGGGACTTTTTGAAGGGTGGGGGACACAATATCAAATGTCCCCCCAGATTTTTGAACTCGTGTCTCGTTTACAGGGCCCTATTATGTACTACAATGTATCTTTTGCTTAGGAAATATTGGTTAAAGTGGTCAGAAATTGCCTCAGATAGCACCACAGAGCATTTAGAATCCAAAATTTAAGCGGGCCCCGAACCCCACGCCTAAAGCTCAGAATTCTGGTAGCTGATTGAATGACTCCAACCTGGAAAACAATGTTCAAAAAATTGTCTTATGCCTTTAGCTGAGAAAACCTCGAAAATTATGTTTAAATTATTATCTTTTGTGCTAAGATAATTATTGGTTAAAGTGGTAAGAAATTGCCTCAGATCACACCACAGAGCATCGAGAATCCAATTTTTTTCGGGGCCCTTGCGGGCCCCGAACCCCACGCCTATAGCTCAGAATACCGATATTCAATGACTCCAACCTCGAAAACGATGTTCAAATAATTATCTTTTGCTAAGAAAATATTAGTTAAAGCATGGAGGAAAGAGGTAAGAAATTGCTTCAGGTCACACCACAGAACATCTAGAATCAATGTTTTTTCGGGGCCCTTAAGCGGGCCCCGAACCCCACGCCGTAAGGGCTTCGCGCTTCGCGCTCGCATCAGTTCTGATCAAGGTATGTCCGCCCCCCCCCCACTTTTGAGAAGCGATTGACGCCCCTGCATGACGCCCCCCATGAAATGTTCCAGCCACCCCCCCCCCAGCGGCCCCCCCCCCCCCACTGAAAAATTCCTGGCTACGCCACTGCATTTGGGCTGCCTTTTTTTTTTTACTCACCTTGTAGCTTAACAATCAGACAGTTTCAGACATTTTTGAATAATTTAGTATTTGGTTAATAGAAGTTGGATTTGATTGAATATTGAAACATTGAAATTGAAATAAACACAATTATGAATATCATGAACATGTACCGGTATTGTTGATGTACCCTAACGTGGTGCGGCACCAGACGTGGCGCACTTTGATTTTTTGCCTCTAGTGCCTAAAGCAAAACTTTTACCTCGACTTTCACAGTGAGTGAAATCCCACCAAGCTCTAACCATTTTTTCATCTTTTTTAAAAAGGCTCACATATTTCAAGTATTCTAATACGTTACTCAGATATTGGGCGGATGATCCAATACTCAGGCTATTTTCATCACAGACTTTACAAAATAGAGATTTGTAGTGATTACTTTAACAATTTAAGGATGATATTAAATCAGTGTGCAAAAATCTTGCTAACCCATTAAATGGTATTGCATTGTACTACATTGTATTACATTGTGTTCCCAGAAGAATCCATAAAACCATCTACATTGTATGTTTGGGTGTTACATTGAGGAAACAGGAGGGTGGCTTCGGGTTAAATTGATGTTTAGTTGTGAACTTGCAATTATTTAAATCTTTCCCTCCATTTCATTTTAATATTTGCTTTAGCTGAGCTAGTTTAAGTTTAAGAATGTATGAACTCACATTTCTTAACCCCGCCCCCTACCCTCCCCCATTTCCATGACAGCTGGATCGGTCCCCGGTCCACATCGCTGCCGAGAATGGCCACACCTCTATCGTGGAGTTACTCGTCGACAAGTTCAAGGCTAACGTATCAGCGAGAACCAAGGACGGAAGTACGCTGATGCACGTCGCCTCCCAATGCGGCCACCCTGAGACTGCGCTGATGTTCCTCAAAAAGGGAGTGCCTCTACACATGCCAAATAAGGTAATTGGCCTCCCCCATAAAACGTGTGGCTGTGTTCTTAGGCAAGACACTTTACTGCAATTGTTGTTACCCAGAGACTGCGCCAATGTTCCTCAAGACATAGAGTGAATAAAGTGAATCTACATGTATGCCAAATACGGTACATGTACATGCATTTGGCCTCCCTCATAAAATGTATGGCTGTGTTCTTAGGCAAGACACTTTACTGCAATTGTTGTTATAACCCAGAGACTGCGCTGATAAAAAGGGAGTGCCTCTACACATGCCAAATAAGGTAATCGGCCTCCCCCTTAATATGTGTGGCTGTGTTCTTGGGCAAGACACTTTACTACAATTGTTGTTATAACCCAGAGACTGCGCTGATGTTCCTAAAAAAGAGTGTGCCTCTACACATGCCAAATAAGGTAATCGGCCTCCCCCTTAAAATGTGTGGCTGTGTTCTTGGGCAAGACATTTTACTGCAATTGTTGTTATAACCCAGAGACTGCGCTGATGTTCCTAAAAAAGAGTGTGCCTCTACACATGCCAAAATAAGGTAATCGGCCTCCCCCTTAAAATGTGTGGCTGTGTTCTTGGGCAAGACACTTTACTGCAATTGTTGTTATGACCTAAAGACTGCGCTGATGTTCCTTAAGAAAGGAGTGAATCTACACATGCTAAACACGGTACATGTACATGCATTTGGCCTCCCTCATAAAATGTATGGCTGTGTCCAATAAGCAAGACACTGTACTGCAATTGTTGTGATCACCCAGAAACTGCGCTGATGTTCGTAGTTCTGGGTACCTCACACCTAATAAACTGGGACCGAAGATACTGAGTGACAGTACAAGTCCTTATTTCCCTAACACTAAAAGTTCCCCACACGTCAGTCACTGCAAACACACATACATGTTAACTTCCTTTCCTTCGTTTTCCTATTTTTCTATTGAAATTTCAAACTGCATAGCGTTTTTCCTTCTGGAGCGTCTAAATTTCTATAAGACAGACATTTAATATTAATAATAATAATAATTGTGCTAATAAGTAGCGCTTTCCATCATATCAACAATCTCAAAGCGCTTTACAATTATTACCCCATTCATCAGGCCATGGGACCACGCGGCAGCCGATATCAGCGCTCAATCGGTCCTCGACCCTCACAGGTACCCATTTATACTCATGGGTGGAGAGAGGCAATTATAGTTAAGTGTCTTGCCCAAGGGCACAAACACCATGTTCCTGGACCATGGCATTCTACAGGTCTGTAGTCCATAATCTCGGTCTGTTCCTTTATCCTGCAAGAAACATTGCATACATGTAGATGCATTGTGTATGTACATGTACATCTCATGTCCTTAGGCAGGACACTAAGTTTCAATTTACATGTAAATGCACATGTACATGTAAATGTACATTATTCCAATGCTCAGATGCAGCAGTTGGTGCACACTTATGGGCCCTGTCACACTTCTGCGTATCCTAATTCCTTATGAGTTGCGCATTGATATTTTTTTCATACGCAGTCGTACGCACAATACGCACCTCATATGCATCTCTATCGTTTTGTGTAGGTTTTATGTACGCAGATATACACATGGTACGGCCCAGTACGCAGGATAGTTTTGGGGATGCACAAAACTACGCTGCGTACGCTGTTACGCAGGTCATAAGTTATAAATACGCAGCGCATCGGTCCCGCATCGGTCGAGTGCGTTACGAGTACGTAATGTGGTCGTGACGCACCCCGTCAGCATATGAACCGCCTGTATTGGACGTATACATAGCGTACTTGCAGCGCAGATGCAACGCACGCTGAACGGCGAGCGGCGGAAATGCGGCGGGAATACGCTCAGAAGTGCGTCAAGCATGCGGTCGGCATAAGTGGGGTGCGTCCGGAATACGTTCGGCATGCGCACTGCATACTGACCTATTCGCAGCCCAAAAAATAATGTTGTGCCCTGCATACGCAACTCATACGCAACTCGTACGCAATGGATGCGCTGAATTCGTTACATGTACGATAGATGTGCGTCGCACATAAGTCAAAGTAATCAAACAATTTCGACGTTAATTGAGCGTACGGCTGCGTATTGAAAAATTTTGATAAGGAACTCATAAGGAATTGGGTTACGCAGAAGTGTGACAGGGGCTTATATGAAAACGTATAGACAAAGAATGAATTTTTTAGGCCATGGCCAGATGTGATTAGCCCTCGTTGTGGCTTTATGAACAGCCCATTGTGATAATGACAAATTGACAGTAGCTTATTGGAGATTAATACAGTTACTCAATTATCTCTCTCCACCTGAATAGCGGGCATCAATTGTGCATGATATTAATTACGGTTCCATGACGACAGGTCATAATATTTCAGGAGGTAATGATCGGCTTATAATTTTTTTTGTCCGTTCTTTTTTTGTTCAATTGTGTTCCCTTTGTAAAGTATTGCCCCATAAATGAACATAACGTAATTTGTTTCCTTGAAAACCTATATTATTGAACAAAGATTAATACATCCGCCAGGCGACAGCAAAGGAATTAAATTGGTGTGTGTTGCATCCATTACGAATTAAATGATCAAATATTTAAGAGTTGCATCTCCCATTTCAAAGATCTACCGGAAAGCCAGATCGCTTTCTCTTCAAACTGTAGTTTGTCTCAAAGTCATCAATATTTTGCAACTGGAAACTTCAAACTTGCTCTTAATAGGGGTTAATTACAAATGTTATTACATAGACAAATCCGGCGGCAGCGATTCCCTGCGGTGGCGCAAGGCTCGTGCAAGTCACGCTCAGTTCGTACACACGCACTCCGGGCTCATGCACATGCGCGTGAGTGTGACACCACCACAGTAGAAGCTTCTCATTCTGGTCACCGGATTCCACTATAAGTGTACATGTACAAAATTATATTCATTTTCTCTGGGGTTTTTATTTTTATTTTTTTTATTTTTTTACCAATTTATTATTGTATTTTTTATTTTTTTACCAATTTATTATTGCTATGTGGTTTTTAATTTTTTGAATACAAAGCTTTGTTGCCCACTCCCAGCTGTTCAAATTTTTTTGTCTCTTAACGAATTTTCAATTTGTAAATTTTGTTTAAATGGAAAAACACTTTTGTTTCTATTTAGGATGTCTTCAACCCTCTAAAAAAACACACTTTAGTTTGGGGTCAATTTTGCACCCATAATGCACAAAAAGATATACATCTGAATTATTGTTGGGTAGCAAATAATTCACCATTTGTAAGGTAATTATTGCGTAACTAAACATGGGTGGATGTTTATTTTGTTTGATGTCTCATTCAAATTAATTTTAATCAGATTAATTTTTTGTTGCTAGACAAATTTGCAGTTTAAAAACAAAAGCTTTTGAGGGTGAAACATGAAGCATGGGGAGAGCATGTACACTGTATGTACCGGTAACAATGATCTGATACACCGTGCCCTCTGGAGAAATGCACACAATTGGGAACAAAAGTTGGTATACGTCTCCACACGGCGATTTCTATAGATGAATACGTCTCCACAAGGTTTCCACGAAATAGATCTATGGATTTCACTCAAAAACTAGGAATATCCAAGGCATGTTGATCCGTCGCAAATGGAAGAGTTTTAGAAAAGGAACATTAAGTCCGAATTTCAGCCAAGGAAGTTAATTCTGGTTAAAATAAGAGCATTTTGAAACTACACTTTCCAACTCGAAGACTTTACTACACGAGAACAAAGAAATGTCTCCAGAAGGAAACAAATTTCAGTATGTGTGTCCTTGAACCGTTAATACAGAGTGTGCCAAAAATAATGCAACATTCAGAAAACAAACAATTAAAACTTTCTTTTTTTTTCTTCAGTGAAATTAAATATTACATTAAAGCCTGACTACAGGTATTTCTCAATCCACTCCGTTTTACCCCATTCCATTTGGATCCCTAGATCCAGAAATACAATCAATTAAAAGTGAAAGGGTGTAAATCTTACTTGGGCCACTCTCACCTGTGATATCACCAACTTCAATGGCTATTCAATGCTTAACCCAGATTCAGCATGTCGAGGTGAGAGTGGCCCAAGTAAAATGTATGCTCTTTCACTTAATGAATTTACCCCAAATGGAATGGGGTAAAAAAGAGTGGATTGAGAAAAAGTCATATATAATTTCATTTTTGCAAACATCACAAAACGAAATGATCAAATTATCACAAAATACCTTACTGGATTGTTGGGAATGACAGTCTAAATCATCCTGTAAAATCTTGGCTCCTGGTGTGCTGACATTTAAAAAAAAAAAGGGTCTTTTTCCAACGCTGGTCGGCTGACCAGCGTTGGAGAAAACTGGCTTTTTTCAAAAACTGCGCCTAATTTTTCATAAGTAGTTTTAGTTTTCCGCGTTTTCTTTGCAAATTGATTACACATTTGTGAAGGGGTACAAGCCTGCTAGACTGATTCTCTGACCTCACAATTCCCCAAAGTCTATAAATTGCTCTGATCCATCTTAAGTGGGGTCAGGGATCCAGACTACAAGAACATGACAGGTTTTCTTGGTTTTTCCAGCATCTACAAGCCCAAAACATGAAACAAGTCAATTTAACAATATTTGCTATAACATACTAATCCTCCAAATCCATTTATTTCTGAAAATTGCAGCCAAAAAAAATGTTGTACATTCCCTTTTCCCTTTATGTAATGAAAACAGTTTTCATTATTTGTTTTCTGAATCTTGCGCTTTTTTGGCACACTCTGTTTGTGCCGAAGACGTCCTTGAACCGTTAATATGAGCAGTAACTATCATGTATTGTCTCTGAATTACAATGTGATGAGCCATTATTGTGTCTGTTAATTGCCAGGCTGGTGCTGTGTGTCTCCATGCAGCAGCGAAGCGTGGTCACGTGGCTGTAGTCAAGTCATTACTGCAGAAGGGAGCACTGGTCGACACCAAGACAAAGGTGTGAATATTTATCCGAGGTCTCCCTTCTAGTATTGTCTTTAATAGGTTTAAGTTGTATTTTTTTTAATGGCTGAAACTCCCATGATTTAATTTTGGATGTTGGAGATCGCTTCAAATATATAGAAATATTCAAAAATAATGCAGTGTGTACCACAATTAAAGGATCCATAAAAATGTAAAAAAAAAATTTGTATACGTTTCTTGTATTTGTGTCCTCTTTAACCTAATTTTCAATTTTCTTTTTGCCATTTTTAAGGGCATTTTTGTGCCTTTTTGGTTTTTATGCTATTGCAGTTTCCACACTCATGAGCAAGAGTTGCACTAAAACTTGCCAGAATTTTGGATACTTGGCTATCGTAAATTTTCTTTTCTTTGGCGAATCGTTGGCAGTAGGCCACGGGTCCTAGACCGAGGATAAATGACTGTTCTGAGCTCTAGTACAAAATGCACTGAGCGGACTTGTCTAGACGCGTCGTAACGGACATTAATGACCGTTGGCTTGTAATCGCGAATTTTCCAGGTGTGCCTTTGTGTTGGGTTTTTGCATGACATCTAAAACGGAAATATTCATAAAACTGTAAGCAAAACTACTCCTTATTTAAGATTTAATTGTTCCAAAATTGTTAAAAAATAAATACTTCAGGATACAGAAGATGGTATTGTGCAGTTTTTGTTGGCATACGGTAGATGAAGTATTTACCCAGGAAATAAACGTAAAATTTCGAGGAGAACACCGTTTACCCGAATTTCATTTTAAATTAGGTTTTTATTAAAAAGTTTTAGAGAAATGTGGTGTCGAACCGATGAAACAAAAACAACATTTCATTGTTCATTTTAAGGCTACAGATATTGTGCTCGGCATTACCATGGTTATGTAGTTATCACTTATCAGAATTCAATAATAAAGACCAAAAGCGTAGACTCATGAATATTCCAAAAAAAAAATAATTAGCTGGCTTGACAGACTTCGAGACCAGATCGGGTTAGAGCCTTGCAAATCTGAAAGCCACCGCGCGCAGTGGTCTTTGTTGAAAAGTATTCGTGGTATTTGCCACCAGTACAGGCCGTTATCACCCGTCTAACCAGGAGTTGGGCGAGTCGTTAATCCTTGTGTGTAGGGTCCGTGAGTAAGCCAGTGAGCAAAGTTTTCTCACAAATGTTTTCAATGACCAAATTTTGGGTTCACACTTTGAATTGAAAACTCCTAAACTGAACAGTGTTTTCCGTGCTTATTGGTCAGGAAAAGCATGGATTTTTAAAAAATAGGATTAACTAAAAAGGGATGTGAAGTAGTTTTCATGCAAAAAAGAGGAGATAATTGCACAAAATATGTTCCTAAGTACAATTCATGTCATGGGCCTTTAATGTGACTAATCTTTAAACCTTTTTCATGTGTGCTTTTTTCTTGTAGGATAACTACACAGCGTTACACATAGCAGTACAGCATTGCAAACCTCTGGTTGTACAGACATTACTGGGTCATGGGGCCCAGGTCCAACTCAAAGGAGGCAAGGTCAGTTGTATTTTAGCTTCATTCATCTTTAGTTCATTGGTTGCGGTACCCGCTGCTGTGTCGGATTAGTGGGGCTAGATGTTGCATGGTTTGATACGCGATAACTCGCCGCCACAATAACCTGCCACCGCGAGTAGGCGCTATCACGACCAACCAATATCCCTCCTGAAATCTCCCCCAGAAAAATGGGGGAAACTATTGGGCATGCCCGACTTGTGCAGGCAATTACGGTCCATTTTCAGTCCCACACATACTACTCACAGCAAAGGAGCTGACCAGTGACGTTGCACATCTTTGCACATCAGTGACGTCTTGCTGCATCTTTTATTGTACTTTAAGAAATTTGAGAGTTGGCTTCGGAACTACATGTACTATGAATTTTTTGAATTGCACACTGCATATATTATACCAAACAGGTGCGCGCGCATTACACAACCAATACGAATTAAGAATACGCCCTCTTGCTGCAGCAGGTTATCTTTCTGCAGCTCTTTCAGATTTCATTGAAGTTGCACTTTATAACAATGTTCAATATAAATAATGCGCATTCGCATAAATGGTTTTGAGGCAAGAAGCGAAAAAGGTCCATCGAAAATGTACAGGGGTACAAACATTCGGGTCATTTTTTCGCAATTTTTCCAAGGATTTCTCGCTTTTGTCTTGATACACAAAATGAAGACTTAAATAATTGCCTTCGTCCCGAGCACAAGAGGGCGAAGGCCGATCAGCAGGGCTCCTTTCCGCACGAGTGACAATGAGTAACTGTGCACTTCGGTGTTCTATCTCCAAATTTTGGACTGAACGCGGTGATGAATCGCGCCGGGCTGAATTACGGGCTGCGGGCCACAAACGATGTCACCGTGTAATGAACGGTCACATTGAGTTGCAACAGTGTCGTCAATCACTATCGAAAGATACAATTTGACAATTAACTTTGGAAAATATTTTGAAATTCTTTTTTAATTGTATGAACTTTGTTTTGTTTATTGCTTTATTTTTTTTTTATAATAATGACCGATATAGCGCAGTGAGATTGTTCGCGTGGCGCCCACCGGGCCTGTACGCCCAGTGCCCGGTCAACGTGACTGTTCGTCCACGGTGACATCGACATCGTTTGTGCCGGCGCAGCCCGTGATTCAGCCGGCCGTTCAGCCCGGCGCGATTTAGCAGCGCGATTCGTCCCGTTATTTGGTGGATGGTACCGCGAATTGCACAGTTACTAATTTTCACTCGCGCTGAAAGGAGCCCTGCTGATTCCCTTCGCCTTCATAGTCGCTCGGGAACAAAGCATTTTTTTAAGTTGTGATTTTTTTTTTACCACAAAAAAGCCCACTTTGGCCAGAAAGTAATGCCCATGACGATTTCAGGGCCTTTTCTGTTTGTTTGTACCGCTGTACATTTGTAATGGACCGATTTCGCTTCTTGCCTCAAACCATTTTTGTAGGGCATAAGTTATTATTTCACAGTGAAAAGGTTTATTGAGTAGCGTGTTTTTACTTTGCATCATTTTGATTGTCGAATACTTAGTTTGTTTTTGAATGCATACCGAATTCTTGGACCATGTGGCTCGCTTTAATATTTCTCGCGGGTTTATAAGCAAGACGAGTTTGGAATGGAGCAGATTCTGAGATGAGATTCCGAGGAGAGGGCAGAGACCAGCCTCGATGATTTGAGAAATAATTGGTGTGAAGTTACCGATATAGAGAAGCCAAAGGAGAGGGCTCAGCCAAACTGCTATTTTCGTTAATTTTAATGCTTGAGCTATTGTACGTTTATTGCATTATTTGTTTTATTTACGAAAAGTTACAGTGGAAATTTGTACATTTTGAATGTAAAGAAAAAAAGCAATTTGATTATAAATCAAATTAGGTTTTGCCCTTCACCGACGTTTTAAACACTGTATACCCAGTGTGTTACCTCCCGAGTGAAAGTTGGAAAAAATCACTCGGGTGGGACTCGAACCCACGACCTCCTGCTTTCTAGTGCAGATGTCTTACCACTCGACCACCGAGCTAACGGGATCGGTTGGCCGGTTCGAATCTGATGTACATAGCAGCGGGTACCGCAAAAACTATTACAAGATGGAATTTTTTATGGATTTATATCACCCCGGCGCAAAAATTCCATCTTGTAATAGTTTATGCGGTACCCGCTGCTATGTACATCAGATTCGAACCGGCCAGCCGATCCCGTTAGCTCGGTGGTCGAGTGGTAAGACATCTGCACTAGAAATCAGGAGGTCGTGGGTTCGAGTCCCACCCGAGTGATTTTTTTCCAACTTTCACTTGGGAGGTAACACACTGGGTATACAGTGTTTAAAACGTCGGTGAAGGACAAAACCTAATTTGATTTATATCACCCCGGCGCAAAAATTCCATCTTGTAATAGTTTATGCGGTACCCGCTGCTATGTACATCAGATTCGAACCGGCCAACCGATCCCGTTAGCTCGGTGGTCGAGTGGTAAGACATCTGCACTAGAAATCAGGAGGTCGTGGGTTCGAGTCCCACCCGAGTGATTTTTTTCAAACTTTCACTCGGGAGGTAACACACTGGGTATACAGTGTTTAAAACGTCGGTGAAGGACAAAACCTAATTTGATTTATATCACCCCGGCGCAAAAATTCCATCTTGTAATAGTTTATGCGGTACCCGCTGCTATGTACATCAGATTCGAACCGGCCAACCGATCCCGTTAGCTCGGTGGTCGAGTGGTAAGACATCTGCACTAGAAATCAGGAGGTCGTGGGTTCGAGTCCCACCCGAGTGATTTTTTCCAACTTTCACTCGGGAGGTAACACACTGGGTATACAGTGTTTAAAACGTCGGTGAAGGACAAAACCTAATTTGATTTATATCACCCCGGCGCAAAAATTCCATCTTGTAATAGTTTATGCGGTACCCGCTGCTATGTACATCAGATTCGAACCGGCCAACCGATCCCGTTAGCTCGGTGGTCGAGTGGTAAGACATCTGCACTAGAAAGCAGGAGGTCGTGGGTTCGAGTCCCACCCGAGTGATTTTTTTCAAACTTTCACTCGGGAGGTAACACACTGGGTATACAGTGTTTAAAACGTCGGTGAAGGGCAAAACCTAATTTGTTTTATATCACCCCGGCGCAAAAATTCCATCTTGTAATAGTTTATGCGGTACCCGCTGCTATGTACATCAGATTCGAACCGGCCAACCGATCCCGTTAGCTCGGTGGTCGAGTGGTAAGACATCTGCACTAGAAAGCAGGAGGTCGTGGGTTCGAGTCCCACCCGAGTGATTTTTTCCAACTTTCACTCGGGAGGTAACACACTGGGTATACAGTGTTTAAAACGTCAGTGAAGGGCAAAACCTAATTTGATTTATATCACCCCGGCGCAAAAATTCCGTCTTGTAACAATTTGATTATACTTTGCTGGAATTTAAAATCCGAATAGTCGTTTTGTTAATGAACGCAAATTTCAAGGAGGAAATTTGTACTTGTTGCATGAAAAAATCCCTAAAATCTTCATATGCATTATTTTCTGGCTGTAATGGTTTTTGGGGGCACAAAATAAAAACTTTAAAAATTGCTTTCGTCTCGTGAGCACGAGGGCGAGAAAACAGCAGGGCTCCTGTCTGCACGAGTGCCAGAAATAACCGTTTGCTTTGGGGTACATTCCACCAAATTTCGGGCCGAATCTCGGTTCAGAGTTGCGCCAGGCGTCACCGTGGCTGAATTACGGGATACGCCGGCACAAAATGATTTCACCGTGCACTGACGGTCACGTTGACCGGGCATTGGGTGTACAGGCCCGGGCGCCTGCCACGCGGAAATCACGCTGCACTCTATCGGTCAGCGGCGAAAATTTGCAACATTCTCGTCAATCACTACCTTTGACTCTCGATGGTATTTCAAAACCCGACATTTGAAAAGAATGTATATTTTTCGCACCGGTGCAGAAAGGAACCCTGCTGATAGTCGTCCTTGTGCGCACGGGACAAAAACAATTTTTAAAGATTATTTTTCGTGGCCCCCCCCCCAAAAAAAAACCCCAATGAGACCAGAAAGTTATGCCTTTTACGATTTTAGGGCCTTTTCTAAATTAAAAAAATAACAAATCCTGGCGAAATTGAGAGCAGATGACAAAAATTTGACCCCTGTACATTATAGTGGGCTACTTTCACTTTATGTCGCCAGGCCCATTGATGCGCATGCGTGCATTATTATGAATTTATCAGTAAAAAGTCTATATTCGGCAGGTTTTCTCCTCATAAACAGTTTTTGGTATGACCGAAAAGTCAAAGTAAGTTGATTTAAAAATACAGAAATGAGCCTCAGTCAAAACAACCAAGATTTCTTCCGAACGGTTGACGTGGTCATAATTAAACCTGGTAGAACTTGGACATGGGTTCGAAGCTGTAATGGATTTTGTGACGTCGTCATGACGTCATCAGATATTAAATTACAAGCGATTTAAGGGCAGACTTAGACAAAATACTTTTAACTCTCTCTCTCACAAACTGAATCTGAGGGTCGTTATCGTTTGTCGCGAGGTGGTAGACGGTGCCTTCAGCCACATTTTCTTCCCGGGCACAAAACCGCTTGACCTTCACTTCCGGTGTTATTGGAAGTGCAATGAAAATTGAAATTAACTCGAAAATGGCAGCATTTTAGTACAGACAAGTAATTTTAGAAATTGAGTTTTTAGTGAGAAATGCCAAACACCAAGAAAAAAATGATGGCGATATCACCGGAAAGGGCGCCCTTTAGTGGCACATCAAATAGAGATTGACTTTTTAATTTAAAAACCATTTGTTAAATTTTAAGAAATTGCCCCGCATTTGCAGATCTACGGACCGTCACAAGCACTACTAGTCACGGGACCAAGCTACCCCAAGATCGCTAGATCAAGAAACACCGGCACGCAGTCGTTGGAGTATTATGTATATTATATCAATTGCAAATGAGGGTTGAGGAGTTTGATTGAGGAAACAAAGACAAACATTTGCGTTGAAATATGAACAAAAATTAACATTGTATCACATCAAGAAATGCTTCACATTAGCTTTATTCTGAGTGTTGGTCAGTTCATCTATTAGGGTGACTACCGAGGGTCAAACTTTCGGGATGGGCCTATCCAACCGATGTGACATCGAATGAAACATCGATTGAGACCGCTGACCACGTTTAGTTTTTTTAACGATCACTTTACAGAGGTCAAATTATTTGGTGCCCGACAATAATTCAGTTTTTGCAGGGTAGAATGGCCCCGTTCCCCATCGGACTCGATAATGCCAGTATACAGACAGGGAGGATTTGTTTGGGGGCAAGACTAAATAAAATCCAGTTTTGATGAGGGTTGCAGTTTTTCGTTGTTATGCTGCATAAAAGTTAAATATTCGTTATTGTCAACGTGATAACCTGCACTTAGCTATGACTAAATATGAAATGTTAAAATGAAGGCCTACCTTTCAAAATGGGGATGATATGACCAAGCCTTCCTCAAAATCTCAGATGTCCCGACAAACGAACTCCAAAAGACCTCAGGTCTGGATGAGTCCGAATGACCTCGAGTTTAACGAGCTAAAGTCAAGGCGTGCTCAGGTACAGACAAGCTCAAGTCCGAGTTGAAGTCCGAATGACCTCGAGTTTACTAGCTAAAGTCTAGGCGTGCTCAAGTACAAACGAGCTCAAGTCCGAGTTGAAGTCCGAATCACCTCGAGTTTACTAGCTAAAGTCTAGGCGTGCTCGATCAGGTACAAACGAGCTCAAGTCCGAGTTGAAGTCCGAATGACCTCGAGTTTACTAGCTAAAGTCTAGGCGTGCTCAATCAGGTACAAACGAGCTCAAGTCCGACTTGAAGTCCCAATGACCTGAAGTTTATACTAGCTAAGGTCCAGACGTGCTCATGTACAAACGATCTCAAATCCGAATGAGCTGAATTCAAAGACAAGCTGGGTCAAAAACATGAACCTTACCTACGTAACGGCGTCGCTGCTGAACGCTTTGTGCGTTCTCAATTATCACTCTTGTACAGTGTGCGCTGCATGTGTAACTACGGCGCTCCATAAGTGCCATCCACTTCTTTATTTAATCAGATAATTTATCACGTCATGCTGACATATCGCCGAGAGTAAGGCGACTAAATCACATAATTGTATCGCTAAGTCGACTTACCGAAGTCGACTTGACGA